ATAAAAGAACAGAATGATGATTGGAAAGTGGAGAGCAAATTCAAGCGGAAGATAAAGATAAAGATTCATATAGGCTGAGGTTGCAAGAATAATGAATGGATGCATGGGCGACACTGCGACACCCAGCCATATCACTGAGTGTCTCTAACTATTGGCGACCATGACCTCGGGGTCCCCATCGAGAGAGAAAAACGAGACCTATGTGACCCAGTTGCCTACCTGGTCAGGGTTTTCATAGCCTCATGTCAGATCTTAGTTTGACCACCCTTGATCCTATTCCATTCGCTTCCTACTCCGGGAAACATTGCTCACCGTAGCAACCCCAGTTGGCGACATGCATAAAACATGTCCAAACCAGCGTAATCCAGGGAGGTAGACAACTTGCTCCAGTGGACGACCACGATTACCTAAAACTCTACACTTAACCTCAGTTTCAACACCAGTCTCATACAATGTGACGTAGTCAGCGGTGTTCGAACACCGACAATCTATTTTATGTTGTTGCGTAATGACTGATTCTCTGCACCATTAGAGCAGCACTGGCCGAACTGCTGTCGCATATACTCGATCCTTCACACAGCCTGATATCGCCCTATCTGGTGGTATCATGCGTAACACACACGTCGCGCAAGGCAATCAATATATATATGGAGATCGAGCACGGTGTCAGACTGTGACCACGTGACTTACCTCGGAAAGTGCCTGGTCCGGCTCGTGTAATCCGGGCAATACAACAGTTCACAAACACACAAAACGTCTGGCGTGACCCGCAAGTAATCGAGCCTAAAAGCACTAGCGCAATCCATGATAGCTCGTGAATTTTATTTTATTTTCTTGCCAAAGACATTCGGCCACCACTCAATCGTCGACCATTGTCTTTGGTCGTTTCTCGTAAAAATGTGATACACACTGTTCTCTCCTCCCCAGTTGGATTCTCGATCCTCAAATATGCTTCAAACATGATACATACAGGAAGAACTTTTGCGAGACAAGGTTTCCATAGTGAAATGACTTGGACCAATGCCCGACTGTTGTGATTTTTTCATTGTTTGGGACTTTTTGGCAGTTTTTGTTTTGCTGATGGAATTCAAACCGAGGAGCAATACTGGTGCAGCAAAAAATTCCTATCACAAATAAATTCTACTCTAGTTTATGCGCAGTCGATGAAAGGTAAAAGAAGAAAGGTATAATCTATACACCTTGTCTCTTGCTTTCATGCGTAGAAACGGATGTATTTGTCTTCATAGGGCGTTTCAAAGGTACAAACACGGATGCTTCTGTTTTTTTCGGGTGGTCAAAGAACGGTCCTGTTTGATCCCAAGATGACGGGATCATATGATAACAGTCTCTCTCACATAGATACAAACCTAGTCAAACTGAGTTGAGATTTACAAAAACCATGCTGATCTGATTGTTCAAACAAACGCAACAAGATATCCCGAGGTGTTGAGTTGATACGACCTGTTGATTACCGTAGCTCACCACTTATAACCTCGATGAAGCTATGTGTTGTTACCCTGAGGGAGTTGGGTTAACTCTGAACGGGAGTGGGACGCTCAGAATTTTTATTTGCATACAACAGCTGATGGGAACGGGATATTAGGTCCCTCGGTGATTTTTTCTTTCTCCAAATTCCAGGGAATTTACAATCAACATTTCTCCGACTCTTTTTTAACTGATTTCTTCCCCCAACTAATCATCATCAAACGAATTTTTTCCCCTTGGACCGATCACGCTTTTTTGCTCTGGTCACCTAGATTCTTACCGGGGTTGAATGTGGGCTTCGGTCAACGACGAGAGTCGCATTACCCCTTCCACCCCACATCACATTCCCGTCCCAATGGATACAATGGGAGTGCACAATGCGACCGAGTTGGTTTATGAGCTATTCGAAGATGTATACAAAAGGAAGTAATGAATGAGTACAGTATGTGGTTGTCATCACAACCATAAGGTCAACAAATTGGTGATGATAAGGTCATCTTGTGCGATGTATGTTCACTACCTCGGTCACTCGAAACCCCTCCCTTTAGGTCTATTACTCCCGTGTTCAGGTGAAATCGACTTTCCTTCAGTTTAAGAGAGTGAGAGAGATGATATCATGCTATGAGATTTAAACCATTTAAACCACCGCTGTTCCTGGCGTGATGTGAGCTCTAGGATCCTAGGTTCGAACCCCATCATCACCACTGTAGTTCAGCCCAATACCACGCCTAACCTAGTGGGGCCTTACGCAGTCCACCACTCCAGATCCGGGAACGTAGGTTGTCGGTTTTCGACGATTGAACAGTAGGTCCGCACCGCTATGGGGCTTACCCCATCTGCTGTTCATCACACACAAGTGTGCAATACAAAATAAGACTTATCAGTAAAAAACGATCAACTGAATGAAACACTGACAGAAGAACATCTGATACTGTCTTTAAGATATGGGGTTTGGACAACTATTTCTCTGAGTTTAGCAAATATTGTCCCTGAATCATACTTTTCCTACATGCTACTTACTATCCGCTAAGTTTGGCTTGCTCAGTAGAGATGTACTGGTTTAGACATAAACAATTTCAAAAATGACATGAATCCTGGTGCAGAGTTGCTTGTTCTATTTGGGCATCCCTGGGCCGCGTGAATAGAGCACCAGTGATAAAATTGTTGGTTAGCCAAGACGGGTAGAGACGTATCGAGTAGACTGCCCCAGATGAGCACCAGCCTTGTCCGAGGACGTGGTGGGTTTTCGTGTCCTCTCTGTGACACGTCGCCTAGTGATGGTGAATGTGATCCGCCACGTCAGCTTGTCTGGAACAATCTCGCTGTCTTGCCGACCGCTTGTGATCCTATTCCTGCCGAGATATAGACACGTAAATAGAATATAGAGTTGTAGAAAAAGCATTACCCTCTGTAAAACTGAGCATTGTATTCATAACCTATTTCTTCAGTTTCTTTCTGTTTATACTTGCTGACCCATTCCTGTGGGACAAGGTATTGGTCGCATGAGCGGACGTTTGTCTGGACGAGTCCATAAGTATCAACCGGCCTGGTTGAACAGTGGAATAATTAAGATTATCAACAGCTGGATCGTTTCACATCACGTGATTAATCTGGTCAAGGCGTTTCGAGTCGCATTTTGGCCACAACGGAATTGATTGAAGTCCGTCTAAATACCCACCCCACGCCCACACTCGTCCCTAATGACCCGAATCAATGCGTGGGCGTGAGCGACATCCGGTCATGGAATGCTGGAATGCTGATTCCTCTTCTTCTCTTTTTTTTTATTACACACATTTATGTGATAATGGGGTGAAACCCAGAGTCAAGATGACCTGCTGTTCAGTGATTGAAACCGGTAACCTAAGCCCCGGGACTTGAAGAGGCAAATCACGTAAATGCTCCACAAGGGTAGGCATGGCATTGAACCGGATGACAGCAAGGTACCTACCACTAAAGTTGGATGGTGGTCCCGGGGATCAAACCTCGAACCACGGGGTCCAAAGCACACCGGTGACAGTGGCGACTAAACCACTGCGCCACCGCCACCACCACCATGATGATTTCTCCCCACCCTCTCCGCTAAACATCTTGAAATAAATTGTGGTGTACCGGGCTGTAGAAGAATCACCGGAAACGAGCTTGTTCGCTACTCTGTGTGTGTGTTTTCTTCTAATCTGTACTAATAAATTTTTGGTAGTCAGTGAGGGAGGAGTTGGAGTAGGCTAATCCTACCAGCTCGATAGATACCCGGATACTCCAAAAAAAGACCCATACCAATCACCACCACGTACTGAAATCGATAGGATAGACCAGATTTTGTACAGACGGTTATAAAAAATTGCACCGAACTAGCAGTTAACAGGGTTCCATTTTAACTCTATTTCGGTGTCTATTTCGGTTCAATCAATCAAAGCGGGTGAAAGAAAACGGATACTGGTAATGAGGTTCACTTTGGTGAACCCTAAATCCCCAAAAGGATTATCCAATCATTCCGGGAGAGGGACTTTTTCTTCCAGAAGCTGGACTAAGTTCCATACCTGAGGAAGAGGTGGCACGATGGGATAGAGTTGCCCGTTTCATTCCCCACTCACTAATCCCGTGTCAACCTGAATTTTCACAGTCGGCATGCCGGAAATTGTTCGGTAGTCCGAATCCGAATCAAGGTCATACCTGAGGAAATTGTGAAAACTATTTTGATTTGTAAGATGTGAGATATTTGCAATGCTCATTTGCTGAATTTTCCACGCATATCGGAAAAGTACTAACAAAAATGGGTTAAAAATTTTGTAGACCAAGAAAGAGTATGTTATGTAAAAATGGAGATTTATCACCGAACGGAAACCTTGTAGAGAAAAATGGATGGCACTGTGAGTGCTATATAGGTAAGATGAATCTGGTACAGCTTCCTTGAAGGAAGGAAACAGTACGGTTGGGCCGTTAGTCATAACTAAGATCTTGTATGGTGCAGGAACTTGCTGCATATGATCCACAGTCAGTATAGAAATTTCGATTTAGTAGTATGTATTAGTTATTTGATCAATTCGATGACTAGAAATGTGCCCCCCCCCCTAGGCTTCGATTAAGGATATTCATGAATGTCTTTGGGGTTCGAACATATGCACGAACCAAAAAAAAAACAGTTTAGGTTTGAAAATCTGCGGGATAAAAGGCTTCGCTTGAGTGATCAACTGACGGACACGCGTGAGTTACCGCTCGGATGATCGAAATACATGTGGCTCAATGCCCATTCCCAGATTAGTGTCGTAGTTCAGATGGTAGAATGCATGCTGTTCTACAGCGCGACGTATCTCTGTGAATTGGTTCAAAACCCCTTCGAGGTTCGTGGATATGGATATTCGAAAACGATTCAGAAACGTGAAATTCGTTTGATGTACCTGTCACAATGTAGATCCGGATCAGAAACAAGTTGCCTAGCACAGAAATCAACCGTAGAGAACAGAATTCGAACCTCGCACCTTATTAAAAGCCATTACATGGCGGTGGGGTGGTTCACACGGCTGGGCCACTAACCTATGGAGACCAATTTTAATAATTTTAATCAAATGGTCATCAGTTATCGAAATAAATGAAGAAAATCGGATTCAGTTCATAGTGTACGCTTGTTTTAAAACATTTACTCCAATCTGGGTGACACACCAAGCGGATGAATTGTCAGATCGTACATTAACGCATTAATGAAAAATATTGTGACATGCACGCCAACACAGACTTGACTGACATGGGATGGGTTTTAGTTTGAATGCGGTGAAAATGTTTGGAATAACGGACAAAGAGCACTGGAAATCTGATTCGTCCTATTTGGGACTCGTCAGCAGTGCGTATTTTTTGTGTCCCTGTCAGTTCAGTTCAGTTCAGTTTTTACAACCATTAACCATGCACTTTCGTGCGCCGGTTTTGGTTACTGTCTTATGATGTCAGTACTCGAACTGCGAACGTTCAGATCGGGACTTCAAACCCCTACCCCTGAGCTACACGGTTATTACGAATGTTTCCACCGCATTTAAATGCAAACAAATAGTGGTGAAGTCAATTTGGCAAACAAGCTCGTTTTCGGTGCCTCATTTACTAGCCAAGTACAGCACTCTTTTATAGGTTACAGAATCACCGAAAACGAGCTTGTTTGCCAAATTGACTTCTCGATGCAATCCACGGGTATTTTCCAGTAAATAGTGGTGAATTAACGATCTCCCAAGAAGTGAAACCCACACACATCGAACATCATCAACAGTGCCTGGTGCCTGTGAATAAAACCGAATGAGCTAATCCAAACATTCATTATCTAAAAAATGGTTTTAGTTTGCTTGTCCATCCCCTGGGAATACATAATTCTGAATGACTGTGATTAAGTTCGGATAGAATGCGATATTTCCGGGACGGGATATTTGTCTCCGGTTAATAAAACGAACTGTGCGTACTTAGTCGCACAACACGAAAGCTCGAAATCGATCAATATCAACTCCTGATTGTCCAAATTCATCGTCTCATTTGATCTTGCCAATGATTAATGAATTTTCCAGGTTTTCAGACATGATTAGAAATACTAGTACAAAGGGAACTGTTTTAGACCTACCTTGAACGGTCCTCCTCGACCGTTGTCTACTTCCAGAAAGAACTTGATGGGACCTCGAGTTTCGGTTTGTGTGGAACAGAAATTGATTGGCGGTGGGGATGCTGGACATGGGGATAAGGGAACATCTTCACCCAGTTGTAATGTGCTCATCGATTGTGATGTGACTGTCGCACCACCAGCACCAGCACCAGCACCAGGAACACCTTCACCTGTACCGCCGCAGACACCACCACCCATTGCACTGGGATATTCATGTCCCGGGCGTGTCAAACCCGACTGTCCTTTTCCATATAGATCACAATAGCCATGCGCAGAGTCCCTCTCGGATAGAAGATACGCTGAGATGGAAGCAGGAAATATCGGATAACGTCCCGTGACCGGGTTGTACGGGGATGGTTGAGTGTTGCCCAAAATTGGTCTCACGTGAGGTCCAGTCATGACTGAACGCATTCCTGTGCTATGCAATCCAGAGGTAGACAAGGCTCTACTCGGACAGGGAGATAGATGCCAGGTGGACGATACGGCGGAAGTCAAATCCGGTGTGAACGGTTGCGACATAGCTACCGTCGTGCTATTGTTAACCGCTATGGATGAGACGGAGCTGGGGTTGACCAAGCCTATTTTTTCCTCTAAATGATGATGATGATGACAGATGGTTGACGGTAACACCGCGGACAAATGACTGATGGAAGCCAAACTTTGACTGGACGAAACGAATCCCGTGCCACTGGCCATACCGGTCCCCACGTTGTGGTCCAAATTTTTGTGCATATACCAAACCACATGTAAGGCATTTCCATCCACGAGACTTTCGGATCTGGAAATTTCCGGGACTGATGGTGCTAAAAATTGGTTCAGAGAAATATATTCAGTCAGCTTTGTTTACACAAAACGCAATCAATCGTTTAATACAGAAAAGCAATCTATCTTACTCCAGAGTTGATTGGTTTTCATTACTCTTATCTTCTAATCCGATCGATTATCAATATCAATATTTAAAAACCCATAACACCATTTCTGAACAACTCCTAACTGAGAGCAGATTAAGCCAGGTTAGGTTCAGACTAATCCTGGGTCGATCTTCTCATCTTACGTTTGAAGACGTAATCTGAAGTCTTGTTCAACGAAGCCGGTCGCCAACTAACCGAATAAAGCCGAATAAAATCTG